TAAATAAAACTTTGTCTCAGTTTGACTGGCTTGTGTTTTTGTGCCCAACCGGGTTGCAAGATTGCAAGCCCGTGTGCACTGACAGCTCAGCAGGGGATCGCTCAGCAGGGGTGCCGCAGGCAGTGCTCGGCAGCAGGAGCGGGACTCAGCCGGCCCGGGGCCGGGCAGTTTGTGGCACTAAACATCTAAAATCAGCATACTATAGGGATGCAGTCACATCAATGATTAGAGTAGTTCAATTAACAAAAGCCAAGCTATGGAACCAAACCAGGTGCCTGTCAACAGATGAAGAGATAGAGATATGAAATTATGGCATTTTCTGTTAAGTGGACGAAACTGGAGAACATTATGCTGAGTGAAATAAGCTAGACCTAGAAAGTCAAAGGTCCAATGGTTTGTCTTACATATGGAAGCTAGACCAAAATAAGGAGAATAAAGAAGGGGCAGGAAGGAATCCCACAAAAACAGAAGGAAGATCAGTGGAGTTTAAAGGGGATGATGGGAAGAGTAGAAGGATAGGAAAGGAGAGGAATGGTGGAATGAAACTGACCAAAATATCCTATGTATATATATGAATACAGCACAGTGAATTTCACCTATATGTATATCTATAATGTACTAATTTTTTTTGTTTTCTTTCTTTTAGTTTAAACAAGATTAAATTTTTTTAAAAAAATTTGTTCTAATTAGTTATACATGACAGTAGAATGCATTTTGATACACTGTATACAAATGGAGCACAACTTTTCCTTTCTCTGGCTGAACATGTAGAGTCACACCAGTAGTATGATCATACATGTATACAGGGTAACAATGTCTGTGTCATTCCATTGTCCTTCCCAGTTCCATTGCCCCTCCCCTCCCCTCACTCCTCTTTGCACAATCCAAAATTCCTTCATCCCCTTATCCATTGTGGATAAGCATCCATTTTTCAGAAAAAAAACATATAATGTACTAATTTTAAAAAACTATAAATAAAATAGAAGATCAGTGAAACAGTGAAATGGGAATGGGGGAGGGAGAAGGAGAGGGAAAGTACTGGGAATTGAATTGGAGCAAATCAAATTCCATGTTTATATAATCATATCAAAATGAACCCCAGAATTATGTATAACTATAATGCACTAATACAAAATTTTAAAATGTGTGAAAACTAAAGAAGAAAACAATGAAAGAAGGATATCAATATGGATAGAATAAATACAATGTTCCTGGATGAGGTGACAACATGATAAAGAAGAAATTTCCTCTTCAAGTAATGTATAACTTAAAATTATCAGCAAAAAAGAAAAATCAAATAATTTCAACAGATGCAGAATAAGCATTTGATAAAATTCAATATTCATTAATGATAAAAGCAATTTAAGGAGATTCTAAATAAAATAAGATAGACTTAAATATTAAGACAAATTGTGATAAAATATACTGAAAATTGAAATAGGGTTGGGGGTATAGCTTAGTGAAAGAGTTCTGCCTAGCAAGACAAGGCCCTGGGTTCAATCCTCCTCCTCCATAATCAACAAATAAACAAAAAAGAAGTAAAATAACCAAAACATTTCTATTCTATGTAAGGAAGACAACAGAACAATATTCTTTGTACTTTTCAATGAAAAAAGAAGAGATTATTCAACAACAGGTGCTGGGCAATTTGTTTAATTTTGGAAAAAATTAATTAGGTTATAGTCTTACCTCATGATATACAGGAAAATAAAATGCAGGTGTATTTAGAAGTTAGACATTAAACACACACACACCTACACAAAAAACCCTATAGAACAAGGAACAGCTACAGAAGAAATATTTTCTTCGAATAAAAACACTGAATAAATCAAGAAGTGTGGGGAAGGACAAGGGGAAACCAAGCAATTTGAATATATAAACTCTTTAATACCACACATAGAAAGTCACTTGCAAAATGAAAAGAACTTAACTTTATGATAACAATTTGATGGGTCTCTATCTGTTAAGTTTAACAAAACCCTTTTGCTTTCTCTAGAGACAAATATGATCTTCAGCTAATTTTCTGGCTGTATTACTGGGCAAAACTATGTGTGGTAAAAGTGGCTCCTGATTTAGATATCTCAATGCTCTTGGCTTTCGTGGATACAGTGACTCTTTTTAAAAAAATTTTATTAGTTATTGATGGGCCTTTATTCATTTATTTGTTTATATGTGGTGCTGAGAATCGAACCCAGTGCCTCACACATGCTAGGCAAGCGATCTACCACTGAGCCACAAACCAGCCCATAGTAACTCTTATAACTGATATAAAGTCTGATATGCAAAGATCTAGAAGTCATGTGTAGCAGCTGTTGAAAAGAAATCAGTTCCTACTTGGGACATTATAGAGATGACTATTGAATATTCTGTCTCCTTTCCCTATGTCTGAGCTATTCTACTGAATTGACTGCTATGAAGACTTGCACTAGAGAGAAACATGCAATGCTGCCCTGATGTGCCTTCTGGCCTGAATCCCCGTGGGTGCCAAGTGTGACACATTTGAGTCCTTTGAGTTTGCCTAGCTGAGCCTAAGATCCCTGTTGGGTACTATGCCACTTCATCAAGTGGTCTTTGGAACATCTGACATTCATTGCTCACTGATGTGATATGAATTAAAGATAAAGCATTGCCTAGGATATACTCCTGCCAAAAATATTCAATATAAATCTAACCAAATAACTAGTCTAACTTCTAGCTTACTACAAATACAGAGGACAGAGGGACAAGAAACTATTAGAAAAACTAGAACGTGAGACCTTCCAAATGATCACTAGCCTGGGCTTTTGAAAAAGCAAATGTTATAAAGGAAAAAAGCACATGGGTCTTTAAAACTATAATCAACTAAAGAGATAAAAATAAAAGTATTGTGTGAACCCTGACTGAATATGAGTTTGAAAAAAAAAGCTATAAGTCACCAGTGTAACTGAAAATTCAAACATTAGATGCTATTAGTGTTTAATATCTTTTAGTTATGTAGCTTTATGAAACACGATAAAAATATATAGGTAAAACAAAAGGCAAAATGTTAACAATTGTGAGCAAATGATCTTTACTGTTAACTTTCAAATTTTCTGTTTATACATTTTCATATTAAAAATAAATGGTTGCCCAGACCTTAAACTACACTACAGAGCAATAGAAACAAAGAGATCATGGTATTAGAACCAAAATATACCTGTAGACCAATGGTACAGAATAGAGGACTCAGAGACTAACCCACATAATTACAGTTATCTCATATTAGACAAAAGCACCAAAAACATATATAGGAGAAAAGATAGCCTCTTCAACAAATGATGCTGGGAAAACTGGAAATCTATATGCAAAAAATGAAATTAAACCTCTATCTCTCACCATGCACAAAACTCAACTCAAACAAAACTCAACTCAAAGTGGATCAAGGACCTAGGAATTAAATCAGAGACCCTGCGCCTAATAGAAGAAAAAGTAGGCTCAAATCTGCATCATGTTATATTAGGCCCCAACTTCTTTAATAAGACTCCTATAGCACAAAAAATAAAATCAAGAATCAATAAATGGGACAAATTCAAACTAAAAAGCTTCTCAGCAAAAGAAACAATGAAGTGAACAGAAAGCCTACAGAATGGGAACATATTTTTACCGCAAGCACATCAAATAGAGCACTAATCTCCGGACATACAAAAACCTCAAAAATCTTAACAGCAAAAAAACAAATAACCCAATCAATAAATGGGTCAAGAAACTGAACAGACACTTTGCAGAAGAAGATATATAGTCAATCAACAAATATATGAAAAAATGTTCAACATCTCTAGCAATTAGAGAAATGCAAATCAAAGCTACTCTTAAGATTTCACTCAAGTCAGATGGCAACTATTAAGAATAAAAACAATAATAAGTGTTCGTGAGGATGTGGGGAAAAAGGCACACTCATACATTGCTGGTTGGACTGCAAATTGGTGCAGCCAATATGGAGATTCCTTGGAAAACTGGGAATGGAACCACCATTTGACCCAGCTATTCCACTCCTCCATTTATACCCAAAGGACTTAAAAACAGCATTCTACAAGGATACAGCCACATCAATGTTTCTAGCAGCATAATTCACAGTAGCAAAATTGCAGAACCAACCTAGATGCCCTACAGTAGATGAATGGATAAAGAAACTACAGTATATATACACAATGGAATGTTACTCAGCATTAAAAGAGAAAAAAAATCATGGCATTTGCAGGTAAATGGATGGAGTTAGAGAATATTATGCTAAGT